GTACAAAGCAGAAATAGACTTTGCATTGCATAAGCCTAACACATAAAAAGTCTAATTATAATTTTTAAAGCACCTCATGGTTCATGACAGATTTTACTTTTGGTGAAATGTGGAATCATTTGTGTTTTTTAGCTATGCTTATGAAATTAAATGTGATAAATATGAAATAATTCTTGTGGTCCATTGAGCAGAGATCTTTTACAAGTTAAAGTATGCCGTTGGAAAAGTAAATACACTGTTGTAACTTTTTAATGTTGATGTCTCTGCTTCTGCCTAAATGACTTCATTTCAGAGAATATTTTTGGGGAACAAGGGGCTCATCTTCTATTTATCTTTTTGTGAATCAGAACGAATGTTTCAACACAGGGATGTTCCAGGTGGCTTTGTGTCTTATACTATGTCTTATGCTTATACTATGCCAAATAGAAAATTAAAAAAAAATCTTAGACTGCTTTTAGTTTTAATTTTGAGATAGCCTTACCTGAGAGACATCATGTTTCTCAAGGTTTCTTTCACAGTCTTGGCCAATATGCCATTCATCTTTATTGAAAAGATAGGGGTTTTTTGTGAAATCAGCACCGAAGTTTTGTCAGAAACATGTAAAATATCAACTTGTATATTTGCTCTATTTAGTTTTGACATCATAGAATGACGATGCAAGATTTCTAAATTTAAAAATTGATATGTATTTTCTCTACCTTAAAATAAGGGATTTTTTTTTTTTATTGCTGAATCTACAAAAGAGCTAAAGCTAAATTCTTTCCATGTGTAATCATACGTTCTAAAATGTAAGTTAAAACTTAGCTTTTGGATTTATTTCTAGTATTTGCATTATTGTCATTATTGTGTGCCTGTGTATGATCAGTTAAACATATGCTTAAGTTCTCCAAAGCCCTCATAAGAACTTATGGCTACATGTCTGTTAATTTTTTTTTTATTATTTTAAAGAAACACTTTTACCATTGTGGTATCACATCTGATGTGGAACATGGATGTAATTAAGAACTAAGATAGCCTCTTTCAGCTTGTGATTCTTTTTTACTTCCTTAGCTATCAAAACAGTTGCTTACTTGTGTCTACTTCCAGGAACTAGTTAGTTGAGAATTAAGCATAACTGTAAAAAAAAAAAATGACATAAGTTTTTTACATTTACAGGTGTACATCTTAAAAATCCAAGAACTGAAGTTTCACTAATTTTGTTGCAAAGAGAGTTCTTTTACTTTCTGGAAAGCTATATAATGTTAGCTGAAATTTAATTGTTGTATTTAATTCTGCCATAAAATTAATAACTTACTCAAGTTTCTTAAGTTGCAAGCAGCAGTACTGAGTTGTGAATTCTAGACTCAGTGAAATTCATTGTGATATACTGTGAAGTAAATCACAGATGCAAACTGCCTTCAAAAAAGGAATTAATGTAACAAGAGTAGTATTCCAGACATTCACTAGATAAGCCTCTTCATTAGAACAGATTTCATGAGAAACTAGAAATTTTTTTAAGGACACATTTCTTCTTAAACATTGGAAGGTTACTTATGGTAGTAAGCAATTGAAAAGTCTTTTTTGTTTCATTTCAACACTTAATTTTAATCCAAAAGATGAAAGAAATATATATGTAAAAACCAAAACAAAACCCAAACAAAAAACAAACTAACATCCTTGCAGATACATGTAACCAGTGCTCAGGCACTCTTAGTAGTAATGATTTCATGTTTCCAAAGTTGATTTGTGATTCTTGTCATGATCAAATTGTAAAGTGCTTTTACTTAATTAGATTACTTTTTGAATAATGCTAATTTGTTAACTTCTGATTTTGTCCTGAAACTTTTTGTCCTGTATCTCTACATCTGTGTCTTAACTGTGCTAACACACAAAAATACCTTTCTTCAGTGCAAGGAGCTGATAGACCTTCAAGAAGGAAATTGGACTGGAAAGTGCAGACAGAAATAGTGGCAAACCAGTTAATGAAATGCTTTAGGATTTTTTGCATAGCAATGGATTTCATTTACATTTGGACATGATTTTTTGAGTCTCCTGTTGACCCAAGAAAATTTACATTAACAAAGTGGGGAAAAAAGTGAAAAAACAGACAACTGCAAGATGATGATAAATCTTGAGGGGGAGGGAGCGAGGGCTAATCAAGTTTCCACACTTTTGAGGACAAACATGAGTGAGGCAATCAAAAGGCAAGCAGCTTAACAGTGTGTACCCTCTATTGTAATCACATGTGCTGGCAGAAAATGAAAATAGCTGGCAAAGTCCTGAATACTTACTAAGTCAAGACTAGCATAATGACAACAAAGACAGTATTACTTTTTCTCTTGTTTACATTTTTATAGTGATAAAGGTCCTTATGTAGATTTAAACGAATGAATGTTATTTTGCTGATATTAGCATATTTAATTTTGGTAACTGCAGCTTTAAACTATTGCACTTTTTCCATATGTATTGAAAGTTTCCGGCTTTCCAGATCCAAATATACTGGTAAACGTTTTCTTTCAACTTGGCAACAAATTCTTAGTTTACTATCACAATATCTTCTTATGCCGGCTGACCTGTCATTTAGCTCTGTGCTTCTTTATTTAGGTTGGTTTATTAAGTTTTTCAAGAATGTTTAAGACAACTAATTCAGTGTAAGTTTGCTTTTATTGCTGGAATGTAAAAATATGCTAAAATAGTTTATTATTATGATATATTCCTGTATAGGAAAAACATACAATGGTTTTAGTTCGTTCTCCGTTAGTTGTGTGCTAGCATGTTATTATCTCTTGCAGAAGAAATTCCTGGTAAGAAGCTATAAAGTTATAGTCTGCTACATGTGGATGATCTTGTGTAAATATCAGTAAAATATTGCTTTATTTGTTGAAAAGCAAATGAGCATTGAAAAAGATTTAATTGGTTATGTGATCCCAGTTCTTTCAGTGAAAGCTTCCATTAAAAAAAACACTTACTAAAATAGACAGAGATCACAACAAATTTTGATTACAAGCAGCACAAAAGGACAATAAATTCGGCTTATTCATTGCTTTTCTGTTTTCAGTCTTAGTGAAATTTTTGTGTAATACTAATTTACTGTCAACTTTTTTGTATTAAGCTGTTTCCAACCCTCTAAAGAAAGTATGTTTTAAGTTTAGATTTTAAGCCCTAATATTAACTATCTTCACAAAATATATTTTCCTCCTTTAAGATAGATTAGATTACAGTGCTCTATCTGTACAGAAACTTCTATCTGATGCAATGCTGATGATTATTCTAGATGCTAAACATCTGTTTAAAAAAAAAAAAATAGCTAGCACTTTTCCTCTGGAGTGTTATAGTTTTATTTCCTCATTTGCAAAGTTAAAAGTGAGGGTTTTGGGTATTTGTGGTATGTTTGTTTCTGAATACTTTATTAAAATTTGACCCTTACAAAGTTACGAGTGCAACCTGGAAGTAGTGTGACCAACGTAAGAGCGTGCCAGTGTCTAACAGCTATTCCTAATTACAAGATTCTTTATTTGAAATATAATTAAGAATTTGAATTGAACTGGAAAAGAATGTACATATTGTCAAATTACATTAGCTCTGCATTTCTACCTAAGATGAATGTATTTTTATCCTTAAAATAAAATGTAATATATCCTTTTTGAATCAATATTCAGACTCTATTCAATAATGAAGTAGTTTTCTTTTATTAGACTTAAAAATGATTTTTTTAATACTAAAATTTTCTGCGTTTATATAACTGCCTTGAAATAATATTATCTTTTTCCAGAACAGCCTAATCTTGTGTCTTCTTATAAGCTGACTGGCATTATGCTAGAATGACAGTGCCTCTGCAGAACAGAACTGATAAATCAGAGTGGAATCACTAGGATCGTATCTGGAGTACAGTCCTCACATTGTGTGGATGCTTTCACAAAATCTTAAAATGTGGATAGGACCAATTCATAACATCACTTTCATTCTTCAGTAGTTACTCTGTTGTATATAATGCTTCCTTAAACGCAACTGCTGAGGCCCTTTTGGAAGCACTTGAATGAAAATGCTCATACATGACAAGAGCTGGTATGAAGAGTAGGAATATGGCACTTGTATATTAAGTAGACAGGCTTATCTGCTTCTTTTTTCCAGTTACAATTCCAGAAAGAACATATCCCTTCCATATTCTGGGAAGGAAGATGCATGTACTTTCTCAGGCAAGGTTTTAGGAAGAGGTTAAAGAATTTCATGGCAGGCTCTGCACTGTGAGGTCTGAATATGTGATTGAAGTTGTTTTTTCCTTTACTCTGTGTCTCACTGATATCTTTTCTAATGAGGGATGCAGCTACGGCATATTTCTTTTCTCAGTCATTGCTATCAAACCCCTCATAAGTTATGCTGAACATGAGCTGCAGGGCTCACTGTTGCTTCATTTGCCCCCATTTTATTTCTTTACCCTCAAGTTCTGTGGGATACCATTAGTGGCTCTTGAGGAGAAAATTAAGCTGTAGGTGTAAGATGCTGCTAGTAAGGATTTTCGTTCAGTTGTTTTACATAAAGTAAGGTGATAGTGTGCTTTATGACTTGAAAGAAGAGATAAGACATTGAGGAAAAGATTAAGGGGTGTTGGGGGTGGTAGTTGGGCTTGGGCTGGGAAAATGATTTGTTAGTAGATGCTAGAGTCCTCCTGATATGAGAGCTAAAGAAACCTAGTGGAAGTTATCGAGGAAGATCAATTTGAATATATGTACATCTTCCTTTTAAACTACTTAATTTGTGCTTAAATTTAAAAAAAAATCCACAATTTTAAAAATTTGTGTATTCTGTTTATCAAAGTAGAAAGCCTAATATTGTGTGTGTATTTATATATTTAGGAAATAAACCATCTAAACTTTGTAAAAAGAAACTCCTGAAGAGTTTAGCACTTTGAACTGTCCACAGCATGTAAAGTTCAGCTTTTTAAGAAAATGCTTTTGTAGGGAGTGGGAAGAAGGCAAGTCTCTAAGACTGTTGAAAGCAACTGAAATTTTGTATTGTCTTAGGTTGGCTGAAGACTTTTGATGATTACTTCAGAGATCAGACACAGCATATTTTAAATAATATGGTTATAAAACTGCTAGAAGACAACCGGAGGAAATTTATGTGGTCTGAGATTTCTTACTTTTCAAAATGGTGGGATGGAATAGATAGCCAAAAAAAGGATGCTGTTAAAAGGTTTGTACGCTGAACTATTTCTTATCTTCCATGTGGTATGTTCTGAGACTTTGTGTGTTTGACTACAGTGTAAACTTGATTTCACTTTAGCAATGCGGAATTGCTAGAATACTTGACTACTGAAGTTCTGATTTTTTTGAGCTTGGTTAATTTTTTTTTTTCAGTTACAAAATAAAAATTCAGTTAGAGAAGTGAAGCCAAATAAGTGAGTTGCTGAAAAAATTGACTAAAAGTTTCCATGTACCACCATGAAGGTGTCATCCAAATTGTGATGATGATGGGATTATAAACTTTATTGAAGTCATATTGAAGTATTGGCAATGGAGTAAAAATAGTTTTTCACATTAGCTATTTATGTATGGTAATTTTTCCTTCAACTTTAACACAATTATGAAATGAGATTTTTTGTTTTTAAATATGTGCAATTTTATAAACATGCAAATGCTTAAATGGTAAAGTAGTACATACTCTACACCATTGCTCTTAGTTCTTGGGAATGACAACAGAAGACATCTATTTAAAAGTTTATGTACAATGCATAAGTATTAAAGCAGAGCTGGGTTTTGTTGAGATTATAAAGATCCCTTGGAACACAATAAACAGTAAATGGTAGTCAATAGGGAACTGTGTCCTTCAGGAGAATCAGGTATTGGTTAAACTGCTGTAAGACTTTAGAAGCTGCACTGGAGTTTTAGTTTTGCTGTATGCTTTTCATTACTTTTATGGGTATTATCTATAATGTGACTAAGTTTTGATAAGTTTACTGTATTTCTTGAATTCATTAAACATTTATATGCTACTGTACAATGTAAGTGCTGAAATTACATTATTTAACTCTAGGGACCACCTCATGCTGGAAGCATGATCATTATGTTCACTGATATCTTAATAGAGAGATAGGATCATCCTGTGATCTGTATCAAGAAGGCATTTTAATGAGTGAGATGGTCTGAAGCCTTTATAGATACAATAAACTTCAAAGCTCCTTCAGCTCTTTATAACAGTAGAAAGAATGGTAGATCAAAAACGGGGAGATATTGGTAGTGCTTGAAATGTGCAATGTCTAGGCATCTCACTCAATTGGCCTTCTGTATCATTGCACATGCACTTTGATTTTTGTAATCTATGCAGGAAATAGCTTTCTTCCTGATTTTAAAAAAAATCAAATATTATGGCACATGCAGTAGAGCTGGTAGTTTTCATTGCACAGAGGCATTAAAGATTTCACTGTTCATCTATTAATTTTTCCCCATTTAATTAAAAAAATGTAGTCCAGTGATGGAAGTAGCACAAGCAATTTAGATTTTGGCATCGTGTCACTGGTAGATACCTATTGGGTATTCAGAAATTTATTTTTAAGAGTATATTTTTCATATGCAAGATTCTGAAAACAGTTTATGCATTTTTCAGGTTAATAAAAGATGGACAATTTGAAATAGTAACAGGAGGATGGGTCATGCCTGATGAAGCCTCTCCTCATTATTTTGCTTTAATCGATCAACTGATAGAAGGACATCAATGGCTAGAAAAGAACCTCGGTATGTAGCTTGATCTAAAATTTAACTGTGTAAATACAGGAAGCTTTTTTTTGTATTTCTGAGGTGCTTAGAAGTGGTGCTTAGACCACTTACTGGAAGTTATAGAATTTAATCTAGTATTTGCAATTACTGTTTGCAGATAGAAGTTCCTGGATGCAGCGTATTTAAACAATTCTATGTCTTAACATTTTGTCTTGATCAATGAAAGCTGTGCATAGTATGTTAGCATAAAAAAGTATAACACTAGATCATGCTGAATTGTAGATGACGTGTTTCTGGTATCAGAGTTTCCAATTGCCATTTCTGTATTTTGAAAATCACGACAAAGGCCTTAAAATGACTTAAAAATTTATATTCCTTTCATGTGTTTGGATCTATTCTGCAGGCTCTGTATTCCTTAGGTTCTCTTATGTAAGGCTTTCAAAGAAGTAAATACAAAATTTAGTAGTAGTTGTTGTAGCAGTAGTAGTGGTAGTAGTTATAAAACCTAAACCCATTGTAATCTTAGAACTGTTCATATTTAAAAAAAAAAAGAAGGGGGGGCAATTCATTCATTTTTGAAACTTTGACAAATTACTGACTGCAGTAACATTCATTGGCTGACCTGTTTTGGTGGCTTTGGGAGGTTTTTTTGTTTGGTTCTATAAGTAGACATAAAGTTCCATAAGCAGAGATAACTATTTTTATATAGAAAATATATGCACAGTGATTTTAATAATAAGTTAACATTACTTCATCCAATTAACTGAAATTATTTTGGAAAGCTGTTTCAGTATGTTTTTCTTAGATTGCAATTTCCATAAACACAGCTTGACATAATTATGAGGTGGTGGGGAGGGAAGGCCTAATAAGAGTAATGCATTCCCTACTTTTTTTTGGTAAGACACTAAAAATATGGCTAAGGAACCATGTTGAAGAATCGGTTACACAAGAGTTAGATATAGCTTCTTTATTTGCTAGTATAAAGTTCAGTCAAAAGACAGTATTAATCAACATGATTCTAATGATTGCCAAGCAAATAAAAAGAATAGTTGCAAAGCCAACATTATTTAAATTAATGTGAAAATTCAACAATTCATCAATCCATCTCCATCCGTTCATTTTCTTTCAACTTTCCTTTCCAGTTGTAACATCTGTAAACTACTTCAGATGAAGGAGATACATTTCATTATGATTCCATGTAAAATTGTTTAAGACACAATTGAAATCGTATAACAACATAGATTACTATGTTTTTAGGCAGCTAGAATGCTTTGCCTCCAAGATATTTGATTTTTTGTTTTGTATTGTTTGTGTGGTTTTTTGTGGCTTCGTTTGTTTTGGTTGTTTGGGGTTTTTTTGTGAGCTGTTAGTCTGTTTAATTCTAGCTTTTTAATTCCAGGGTGTGGTCTGAAGGAGGCTTAATACTCAGCTGTATATTTTAATTTGTCTTCCTGGTAATTTTATCTGTCAGTGCTGTGATTTGTATTATATTGGTATAGCTTTCTTTGAGTGAAAAGTAAAACTTTCTTTCCTTTTTACTTTTTTCTTTTGTCAACAGGAGTAAGACCAAAGTCTGGTTGGGCAGTTGATCCTTTTGGGCATTCACCAACAATGGCCTACCTTCTGAAACGCACAGGGTTTTCCAATATGCTTATACAGAGAGTTCATTACTCAGTTAAAAAACATTTTGCAACGCAGAAGACACTAGAATTTTTTTGGAGACAGAACTGGGGTATGTATTTTTCCTTTATGTAAATTTATTTTGTTAATTTACACAGGTAAAATATGGAGAGAACTTGAATAAATACTATGGGGAATCTTTACAGAACAGGTAATTTAGAGAAGTTAGTCTAAACTTGAAAATTTTAGACTAACAGTTCTGTTTAAAAAAAAAAAAAAGTCTTTCGGTTAAGTTTTGGGGATTTTTTTTTTTTTTTTTAGTAATAGAAAGGGAATGTGAGTGCCTGTGTGTTAGGAAAGGGGTTAAATATAAAAACTATATTATTGTCATTGTTCCTCTGATCTTCCTTGTTCTTCACTTTCCTTTGTGCTTTTACTTTGTCTTATTTCCCTTATCCCACATTCCTTACAAGTAAATACAAAACAATTGAATGGGTTGGGATAATATTTTTCTTTTTCTCACTTCTTTGTTTTCTTCCTCCTACCTCTACTACATGGAAATAAAGTGGAGGAGAAAAAACATTTTGAGAGGAAAAAAGGCCAAAATTCAATATTTGAAGGTGGAGATACCAGTCTTGTTAATGCTCTTACTAAGGAAAAAGCTTTCAAGCAACCAGTTTTCCTCATCTGCTGTGACAAATTAGTGTCATTAGTTACAGTAGCTTTCAGTGGACTCGAAATTTGTAGGTTATCTTTAGTCAGAAAACCAGATTAAAAACATTTTACCATTTTAATTTGCAATGAAATTCTCATCTAAAACCTTATTCTTAGAATAAATATAATTGCTTTTTGATATTATTTATACAATATAGAGTATGAATGTTTTCTTAGGTAATGTAGTAATTATACCTTAGCAAACTGTAAATGAATGTACTTTTCTAGAAGAATATTTTGTTTTGCTTTGTACTGTAGCAGCATTCCAGTAAACTGTATGATGAATGTATGTAGTTGACGTTTTGGTCTTTCTAGCTTTTAAAGTAAGCTAATATGTCACTCCTTTATCAATACAGGGTCAAATAGACATATTTAGTACTTACTATTAAAAGGTAGTGGTGATTTTGAAGCTTTTTAGTTCCTCTGTGTTTTTAATCTGAAATAGTAGAAAGGAGGGTATTCAGAGAAAGCAATCTGCTGCACAAGTTAGCTTGACTTGAGGAAAACGTACCACTGTGAAAGAATTTATCAGATATTGACACTTAACAGATTTTTCTTTGGACTTTAGTGTATGCCAGTGTACAGAATACTTAATTGACAGGCCTTTTTCCTAAATAGTTGCACATGTCAATCGCATGTACGATACGGTCTAGTGTTTGGTCTTCAAAAGAAGACTTTTCAAAACAGATCACATATCAAAGATCACTGCACACTTGTCTGGCATAGTGTCTAGACATGGTATCTGAGATAAAGAGAACTCCTGTGGTTGAAAAATAAATGCATGTGTTTCTGGAATAGTACCTTCTTAGTACTAATAAGTTGCAGTAAAATAGGAGTTTTTAAACAAAAGCTCTGGATTGGAACTGTGAAGACTTATGCTGTTAAGGTTTTGAAGAGTATTTTCATATGTATTGTTGACATATATATATACTTAGAAGCCAGGTTGTGTGGCACATCTACAGCATTCATCCGATTTTTTCAGCATAAAATTACTTTAAGTCATTAGTGCTGGAAATAGGTAGTCAGCACTTAGGATTTTACCAGATAAGTAAACTTAAGGTTCTCTTAAGTTTCATGAGAACTTCAAGTTCTCTTTAAGTTTTGAAAGGCCTTCTTTTGAGACTTGACAAAATGTGCGTAGATCTCTGCTCCTGGTGGGTTGAACTTTAGGGAATGGACTGACTAGGTGGAAAAGTAGATTGCAAAGATGGTCTCAGAAGTGCATAGAATCTGTCTACATGTACATAGAATTGTACAGTGAATGCATTGAAGTTATGTGTTAAGAAATTAAGATGTTGCTAAAATGAAGCAATTCAAATGTCTTCCTAATGAGGTAATGAGAACTGACTAGTTGGTTTTTGGGTTTGGGGTTTTTTTTGGTGGGTTTTTTTATTTGGTTGGTTTTGATTCACTCGAAGTATAAAAGATGTGTTTTGTTCACCTCTTGAAATTCTGGAAATAATGAGATTTATTTGGGTTTAAAACATTTTAAGTTAGACTTTCCAAGTTTGCTGGTGCTTGATTGGAACATTCCAATCTTGGTTGTATCTCTTTTTTAGCCTTGTTATATGTAAGGTGCGTACAAAGGTAGACTCCAGGTATGAATATCCAAAGCAAGGAATTGTCTTGATCTTATGTTTTTAATACAATTCTTGGATTAAGAACATGGAACTGATTTAGTTTTGGCAAATATGAGAGGGTTTATTTTAAAGGTATGCTGTATCTATTTAATTTCAGATTTGGGATCCAGTACAGATATCCTTTGTCATATGATGCCTTTCTATAGCTATGACATTCCTCATACTTGTGGTCCAGATCCAAAAATCTGCTGCCAGTTTGATTTCAAACGTCTCCCTGGAGGAAGAGTAAGCTGTCCATGGAGAGTTCCACCAGAAGCCATTCATACTGGAAATGTTCAACACAGGTACGGTTTTTACATATTCTGCAAGGGAATAACTTTAGAAAAATAATTTATGCTGGTCAGAGATAATATCTAGCATAGCTTGGTGAATTTATAAAGTTCTTAAAATAAACTTGTTGTAGGAAAATAATGCCTATTACTTAACCTAGGGTTTGCTCATAAGTTCAGAACATAATTGACAGTTGTAATTAAGGAAGATGCATTAAATTTTTTTCTTTTCCATTCATAATACATGAGTCTGTTACTATCTCTGAATGCTAGGCAGAAGAGTGTTACCTACTTCATTATAGTCATGTTATTGGTTTACTGTAGTTTTTGTGGATTTTATGAATAGACAGTGATCTGTCTCCTACCAGTGGAAGACTTCAGGGACAGCATGGTGTTAGCATGTAGTAACTGCAAACAGCAAGATATTTTCCGTGGTATATCCCTGAAAACTGCAATCTGTGGCCTAGGTTTCTTGAAGTGGACACTTTAAGTGAATGTGAGTCCTATGTCTTACATGTCTGGGGGGTGGGCAATCATATTAACCTCAATTTTATTTTTCAAATAGAAACACTGTGTTGTTTTGCCATGGGTAAGAATCAAATCTACAGTTTTACAAAACTACTTTTCAATTTTTTGAGGAAGGGGAAAAAAAAAAGGACGTGAAGGGGGAAGATAGAAGTCCTAAAGGTTTTTCCAGAAAAAGATTGTATTCTATAGTCCCATTACTATCTTTAGGCCTTCAAACCATCCCCAGGTTCAAGAGTTAGAAATTTAGGTAGGTGTTTACAATTGTTGCAAAATTTTTAGTATAACAAATGTATTAAGGATAGCAGGGTGACCTTTTGGTTCTCGTCTTGATGCTGGAGTTTTGAAGTGACAATGTGTTGATGATACGTTAGTTGTGTGCATGTCCTTTTTCTGGGTATAAATTTTGCCAAGTATCTTGAAAACTTCACTTTGTAAGTAAAATTCAATTACAAAATTTTATCGAAGATAAAACCAAAATAAAACAGAATACATCACAATTGTCGTATTTTAAGGTAGAAATTGGAATGATAGGAAAAAGTAATTTTCTTTAGAAGTAGAAAAATGAAAGCTGAAAGTGGCAGGAGAACAGTAGAGCTAATAGGAGAGTCATTGACATACCTAGTGCTTATCAAATGTGAAGGAAAGCTCATGTGTCTAAATCAAAGTTGTAAAAAGAAAAGTCTTGAATATATATCCCAATTAGCTGAGACAAGTATTTATAGAAGAGTAACAGCTTGTTTAACAAATACCTGGAACATACAGGCTATAAATATAGAGAGCCTGCTCAGAATGCTTTTTAAGGTTTTAGGTTTTTATTTAGATCTTAAATTATCCCTGTACTTCTAAGATGTACTTCTAACCTTAGCCTAACAACGTAACTTTGACCTTGTAAAAGAAATGGTTCTTTTACCATGTCATATGAAATCAAAGATTACAAGAAATGGGGCAGGTATGTGTGGTGGGTTGACCCTGGCTGGAGGCCAGGTGCCCACCAGAGCTGCTTTATCACTCCTCCTCCTTAACTAGACAGCAGAGAAAAGGTATAATGAAAGGCTTGTGGGTCGACATAACGACAGGGAGAGATCACTTGCCAATTAGTGTCACAGGCAGAACAGATTGAACTTAGAGGAAAATTCATCTAACTTATTGACAAGCAAAATAGAGTAGAGCAATGAGAAATAAAATCAAATCTTAAAACATCTCCCTCCACCCCTCCCTTCTTCCCGGGCTCAACTTCACTCCTGGTTTCTACTTATTCCGCCCTTAGTGGCTCAGGGGGATGGGGAATGGGGGTTGCAGTCAGTTCATCATACGTTGTTTCTGCTGCTCCTTCCTCCTCAGGGGGAGGACTCCTCACATTCTTCCCCTGCTCCAGCGTGGGGTCCCTCCCACGGGAGACAGTCCTCCACCAACTTCTCCAACGTGAGTCCTTCCCATGGGCTGCAGTTCTTCACCAACTGCTCCAGCGTGGGTCCCTCCCCTGGGGTTCAGTCCTTCAGGACCAGACTGCTCCAGCATGGTTCCCCAACGGGGTCACAAGTCCTGCCAGCAAACCTGCTCTGGCGTGGGCTCCTCTCTCACCGGGCCCACAGGTCCTGCGAGGAGCTGCTCCAGCATGGGCTTCCCATGGGGTCACAGCCTCCTTTGGGGGCATCTACCTGCTCTAGTATGGGGTCCTCCACAGGCTGCAGGGGAATCTCTACTCCAGCGTCTGGAGCACCTCCTCCCCCTCCTTCTGTACTGACCTTGGTGTCTGCAGAGTTCTTACATCTTCTCACTCCTCTCTCTGGCTGCAAAAGCTTTCCGAGGTTGGTTTTTTTCCTTCTTAAATGTATTATCACAGAGGCATTACCACTCTTGCTGATTGGCTCTGCCTTGGCCAGTGGTAGGTCCGTCTTGTAGCCGGCTGGCATTGGCTCTGTTGGACATGGGGGAAGCTTCTAGCAGCTTCTTGCAGAAGCAACCCATGTAGCCCCCCTGCTACCAAAACCTTGCCATGCAAACCAAACAGTATGTAGTGAACATGTATAATCAAGTTGAATAGATCATCATCTCCATATTGTCTCTAAAATCTTTTGCATCAGCTTTTGGTAGATAGAAACAGATTTGGTGTCTAACAGGGACTTAGACCAGGAGTATGGTAGATAATACCTAAGGGAAACGTAAAACTAACAGATGGTCTTTGAGTTGGGAGTCTGGATTACTTATGTTTGGAACACTCGATGGAACATAGGAACCATACTTTGAGAGTGGAGTTTCAAATAAATCCACTAAAACATAGGAAATAGTCTTTTGCTGGAGAATGCTAAAAACACTAATTGTATTTTATGAAAAAGAAAAAGCTGAAATATAGTAGTCAACCAAAACCTTCTCTGATCTGACCTCTGTATCAACACAAGTTTTACAGTTGTTATGATGAGATGTATGAGATCCAGAAGTAATTGGAAAATCTATCTTTACATCATAAGCTTTCCAAGGTTAAAGGTTTGTAGCACTCTAATCTGTCTCTCATCTCTGATTGATTTGCTTTTTATGACTGGAAAAATACAGGAGATCTACACTACATGGATCTGAAAAAAGTATTTGATACACACTTGATTAATTTAAAGCAGGGTTTAGATCACTGACTTTTCTTCAATGCTAAAGCTGCAACAAAATTAATAAAACACAGATCTTGAATACTCAGCTGGGACTGTTGCTTTGATTTCAATACTGTCATGGCTGTACATATATACTAAAGAGATATTGAATTGAAAACTGAAAACTAGTAGCTGTTGGATTTATCATTGCCTTGTCACTTTAATTGTGATTTGGTAGGAAGGAATGAAACAGCAGTTGAATTGAAAGCCTGTACTTGTTTAATTACACTTTGTAACAGCTTAGGTTATAGAGATTGCTGTTGTGCTTGCTTTGGTTTGCAGCTGCATCTTTATCCATATGTTTGAATGCTGAAGTTCTAGCTTTTCACATTAGCAAGAAAAAACAGCTGTTATTTTTTTTCGCCTTGAATAGGAATGAGTTGTTTTGTTGGAGGAAGCATAGCTTGTTTTGGTGTATGGCTCTCCCTCCCATGCATGGAAATATGAAAGTCTCTGTATTACAAGTTACAAGTTTTAGAGAAGTAGAAAATGGACTTTCCCCTTTCACCCCCTACTGTTCAAGAAGACTTCAGCTTTTTCCTTTTTATGGTTGGTCACATTGCATGGCATGCAACTGACGTTCAGACTGAGTCCCTAATGCTTCATGTGCTATATAGGCTGAAGTAGTAGGGACTGTGAAGCAATGACCACTGTCAAACCTGTCACGTAAGGCTTGGTATAGCTGCTGCAAAACTTCTTGTGATTCCCACAGACTCTTGATGGCTACTACTCTTGCTCCTTCGACACAGGAAGGGGCAGAACCAGCCATGTTAATTGTTAAGAGGATATAACTGACTTGAGAAATCTCATTTTTCTTTGGCACTTTTGCAATTGAAACTGGTTTGCAATGGAGGAAGATCCTGCTGCCCCCTTAAACACTTAATAATCCTTCAGTTGTGAGTACTTTGAAGAAAGAGAGAACAGCAACACTGATGAATTTTGCAGTAGATTTGGAAAGAAACTAGAGGAGGACTTTGAAGAGAGATGTCAAAGTCAAATATCCTGTTAACGGAAATCTTGTATTTTTCAAGAGGCTCTAAAATACAGTATGTTTCCAACTGTAGGCTGTGGGTGGAAAATCTGAGTTAGGCTGGCTTCTTAGAAGGTTAATTACAAAGTCTTGTGTTACGCCGATTGTTCTGTTAGTTCTGTGGAGAGGAAGTCTTTATGTTTAAATCTGCAACCTGTTGAAAGTCAACTGAAAATATTGATTCAAGCATAAATACTTGGTAATCTGAACTATAAACCAAACTATAGATGGGTGGGGTGGGGTGTAGAAGCCATTAGTTGGGACTATTCTAGTCTCAGCAGAACTATGTAGATCCTTAACTGAAGATGATGTTGTGCCCTTTTTTCTCCATCCAGAGAACCGTCAGACCTTGTGTTTACTCAATAATTTTATAATCTGGTAAACAAATAAACCCTGACTTGCTGGTCAAAGAAATATGAGTTTCAAATATACTGGACTAGTTTTAATTCTCACATAAATGTTTATATAACAAATCTTCAAGGGCGTGAGTTGGAACACTTCCATCATTGGAAGCGTTCAAGGCCAGGTTGGATGGGCCTTTGAGCAACCTGGTCTAGCGGATGGTGCCCCTGCCCATGGCAGGGGGATTGGAACTAGATGGCCTTTGAGGTCCCTTCCAGCCCAAACCATTCTATGATGCTGTGATCTATTAAAAAGACATGTAGAAACAAAAAGCTCACTGGAATCTGTATTTTGCTGGTATTTGCTCTGTAAAACGTTGTCATTTATATTCCTGTTTTATTAAATATGTAACTGTGGTTTATACTCCCTACTAAAATTATTTCCATAACTTTAGAGAGGATCAGCATCTAACGATTCGATAGCGATTGTGGTTGCGAGGGGGAAAAGGGGGAAACGGACCTTTTCAGTAAGCCAGACATCAGGCTTGTAACTTTTAATACATTACTGCTTGATGACAGAACTTATCTTTTACCCATCAAAGAGTTAGTAGGTGCCAAAGAATAATTTGACTACCTTTTTTCTATGTGTGCGTGTGTGGGGTGTTTGGGTTTTTTTTGTAAAAGCCAAAAGTAGAAAAGAGTGGGTTTAATTTTTCAGGACATGTACTTACTTAAAGCTTAAGAGAGCTGGCTCTAAGACGGGTAAGAACCTGGCTGAAGGGGAACAGTGATTGTTAATAGTGAGCTTCTGCCAGTGTTGGGGTGGTTGTTTTGGTTTGTTGTTGTTTTTTGGTTGGTTTTTTTTTTTTTTTTTGCAAGCCTGGAGTTCCTCAAAGATTAATTTATGGGCAGTTTTTTCTGTCAAGGACATGAAGATGTGAAGCAAAGTATCCAAGAGAATTACCAGGGGGGATGAGAAGAGCTTTCTTATTATTGTAAATAAGGGCTGGAGAGGATTAGGATTGTTATCTAAATATGAAGGAGGTAAACATAATTTAAACTGAAGGTTAGTTTTGGCACAGGAACAAATTGATGCAGACTGACCTACTGTTCGAGATGGAGCTTGATAAGCTTATTGAAGGATTTAATTAGCATAGTGTTTGCAACAATAGTAGGTTGAATGTGGTGTCCCAGTGGGGTGAATTGCATCCAGCTTTTTTTGTTACAAAATGAGATAAGGGAGTTTTGTATGTCTGGTTTAGGATCACCTTAATGCTCAACTTGATATCTAAGAACGGTTTCGTCAAATGCTGACCTTAATTCTCTTTTCTAAATTGTTTTTTTTTTTCTTTTTTTTCCCTCAAGGGCTTGGATGATTTTAGATCAATACAGAAAGAAGTCAAAGCTTTTCCGTACTAAAGTTCTGTTGGCTCCACTGGGGGATGATTTCCGATATGCTGAGAGCTCAGAATGGGATCAGCAGTTCCAGAATTATCAGAAGCTGTTTGATTATATGAATTCTCATCCTGAGTGGCATGTTAAGGTAAATACAATGCTTTTTCTGGTTTGTGGACAAAACAATATTTCTCAGTATTTTGAGATTCTTCATGGAAAAATTTTGTGGTTTGTTTTGTGTTTTTTTTTTTTTTTAACTGTGGAGCTTTATATATTGTTTAACAGCAGATTACATTTTTTTACCTTTACCACCTCCTCTTCCTCCAAAACAAAAACTTTGCTATTAATAATATCTGCTTGAAAACTATAAATAGTATCTAAATTAGATTATTTTGGAGAACATCTATTAGGTTTGATTGTTTTCTTAGTAGTCTTGTTTTCACAGGCTTGAAGCATTGTTATTTAGTGTTTGCAGGCTTTGTTATTTAAAACTATTGCATTTTCTTATTAGAAGTTCAAGCAAATTTTGTTGCTTTGCTTGGGTCCTCTTGGCTTTATGTCCCAATCTAAACAAACAAAAAATCCAAAGGGGCACCATTGCTGGCACATGTTGTTGAATACAATAAAAAAAAAATCTAAGAGGTTGACCTGGCTACAAAAGGAGTGAAGATGCTAACACAATTGTCAGATGAGATATCACTTTAAATCATGAGTTATGTTTGAGTGTTAATATACACATTCATACATTCTAATGTGCAAGCTGAGTACTTTAGAGACTTCTTGCGCTATAGATGTTCTCTGTACTTGGACACCTTTTCATCATCTTTTAGCATGGGAATAAGAAATAGGAGACCACAACCTTGTTTTTTCTTGAGTATCACATGAGAAAACACTATTGCTGCTTTGATGTTAAGGCTTTTTAAACTTCATCTGGTATCTTTCATGTATTCTTTCTGTGTGTATCATTTTGCCTCACTTTTCTTGAGACCTCCTCCCATTCCTCTAATGCAGATTTGAGTAGTGCCTGTAGTGT